GAGATGTGAAATGAGGTGATGAATTACAAGATGTCCCGTAAGTGGCGCCAACGGCGGAAAAGGGATATGACAAGGGAAACTCTTCTCATGGAATGCATCCTTGTATAAGAAATCGGCTAGTTGTGGTCCGTCACGGCACCATTTCCTGCAACAACCAGCGGCGATCGATGTATCCCGATGATGACAGAACGCCTGTCCTGGTGGGTCGAGGCGGAGGGTGGGCCAAGTCAACGAGCGACGACGATCAACAGGGGGGTAATGCATCATATCGTGGCCAACCATGGGGCGCCAAAAATACTACTAAGCAATCAGGGGCCTTGCCTCGGGTGCGAAGTGTTTAGGAACTGCCTACAGAAGCTAGGTGTCAGACACCTAAGGACGGCACCATACCACCCGCAAACAAATGGTCTAAATGAACACACTGACCGGATCTAGGCAAACTCCATCTAACTACAACATTGACCGAACGATCAGGTAGTGTCCGACGGCCAAGAGCTAAGCAATCCCTCCCGATGGTGTTGCTAGCGCATTGTGCCTACAAACAGCTGACCACGGGCAAGTGCCGGCTATGCTGATTTACGGTCATCATCCGCACTTGATCTGTTCAGGAAATTGGGTTGTGGCCCATAACACGAATTCCTCCGAGGAAGATAAAGTAAAAAAGAAGGAACGCTCGAGAAAATTTGGCAGCCTTTCATAAAGGAACTAGACAGAAAGGTACGACAATTCCGATATTCAAATGGAAATATCATTAGAATCCTGGAATGAGTGGTCCGGTATCGCCAAAGAAGGGCAGTCGTAGGTAAGGTCCACTCGTCGTTACTGACCACTGAGGGAACGTTAATTCAATTCAGTGGGGTCATGGGTCAGAAACTGTAAAAGGCACTCAGTGGAATGAAGCAGCAAAAGAGCTGTCGGATGAACCAGTTGCTCAGGCCAAACTCACGGAAGTCAACAGAAATCGGTGGCGGGCAATCGACCTTTAGATGGGAAAGATGTGTAGCGACAGATAAAACTGATGAGACAGCCGCTGGCTATTCGCACAATGAGGCTGTCGGATCAGTTGCTCAGGCCAAACTCACGGAAGTCAACAGAAATCGGTGGCGGGCAATCGACCTTTAGATGGGAAAGATGTGTAGCTAGCGACAAAACTGATGAGACAGCCGCTGGCTATTCGCACAATGAGATTGATTTCTCGAAATCTACGGCATTTTCAGACTTGCCACTTCATAGTGTAGAATGTCTATGTATAAGGTACATGCTCCTGTATTATTGAAAATCCTTTACTATGGCGATTTGTTTAAGTGAACTAAATCTGCAGGTGAATAAACACCGCCGACTTTGAATACCTTAACGGATGAAAAAAATCGCGAATTGTGGAAAAGGTTGACTCACATACAATGAACGTAACTTTCAGGTATTTTTCCACCGGAACAGACTTCCTCAACATTCTAGAATCTAAATGGCCTTTGGAGATGCAACTTATGCGCAGGCGCATTCGTGCAAACAACTTTTGGCCGATGATTCCTTGTTGCC